TTTAAACGACGTCGCTCGTACCGACCGCCCGGCCGTGATCTCGTGGCCGAACCAACACTCGAGAGCTTCCCGACGACGATCTCTCCCGAGGTCGCGACCCGTTTTTTTACCAATCGTTTCTTTCCTCCCGCGACGCGTGTTCAACACGCTGACGAAATTGTTTTTACGCCACGCCGAGATTTTACGTACAGGGAAGACCGCGAAATTCCAGGTACTGTTGACGCGTATACGCGAGAAAACAAATCGTTTTACACTCGATGACGCACCGATGCGTTACATGTCGGGCGCGCAGTTTAATGTGCACCGATCTCGTATACAACGTTTTATTCGATCGCGCGAATAGCGATGAAACGCATTTGGATTTCACTGTTTGTTGATTTTTACGTACGATTCCGGCGGTAGTGTTTTTCTTGTGAACAAATGTCCGCACGGAGCCCGACCCGAACGCATCGAATGCACACCGGTGACGTGTATTCGAAAATTTTTAGTGGGAACGATTTAAAGTGTTCCATTAAAAAAAAAAAAAAAAAAAACAAGTGATTTTACAATGTTATAAAAAATGCAAGTGGAGGCGGTTAAAATACGGTATTTTATTCATTTTGTCGTAGAATACCGTGTTGTACCCGATATTATACCAGTATTGATTACTAAACCTGCGGTACCTTAAATTATAAGCAATTTAACAAAGGGATAACCCCATTGTTGATTATGAAATATAAATTATTTTAAAATGGAATAATTGAAAAAAAAATTGCTGAAAAGTTAGAAAAAATTTAAAAAAAAACATAATATCTACAAGAATTGTTCATCAAATTAATATTTAGTCATGCTACCGATTTGCAATTATGATATACGGTAGGTAACATACTTATGCGTGTTATACATAGAAATACGTATTTTTTAAACGGAAATAAAACCAGAATTGTACTTAATATTTTATAGTTATACACTATCTTATTGTACCTATATATTTACAATTTTCGAGTATAATGATAGTACAATAAATTGATTTTAGTCATTTTTAACACCTGAATTCTAAATTAACACGTTTACAATTATATTGTATGTTTTTAATTTTTATAATAATACTGTACTTTATTGGAGGTCCATTCTATAAGTACAGCTAAAAAATTAACAGTTGAGTTACTAAAAATAACGCTTTAATTTTTTTTTTTTTTACTGGCTGTATAAAATAATTTTATACCATGTGTGTATAATACCTTGTGTAATATAGTTTTATACCACTGTACAGTACGAACTCGCATCACTACATACAAGGTATGAGTTGTTAATTGAATTAAATTTTAGATTCAAACGACGAGCTAAAAATGGCCCCCCGAAAATACGCCACTCGTACACACACGTATCATACCTGCGTGCAAACACGTAACGATGCTTATTACTATGGATTTATATGTAAATACATATTTTTATTAAAACGAGATATTTAAGATTCGATTAGAAATGTTCATTCCTATTAATATGATGCTACTTTTATTTTACATATTTTTACATATTTTGGTATAATTACATATTTTTACATATTTCACTAATTTGTAAATATTTTTAAACATATTTTATCATTTCATCATGCATACGTCTTCTTCGTACAAAAGTACAAGAAATTATTTCAAATTTAGATCCAGTAGTAACTTCTATCACTATTAGAAAAGCTCAAAATATTATGCAAAATAAAACATTAAAAACTAATTTAATTTTCATCCCAATGAATTTTAGTTTTATTGCACATACATTTACAAAATTAGAAATAAAAATATGTCCTTAAATGAAAGTATGCAAATTGTCGAATCAACGATTGCAAAATGAAAACTCGTAAGCGGACCAATATGAGACGTCGTAAAAAAGAAAATTCATACTGTTACAGAAAAAAATTCCAGGCTATATTGATTTTAAATCAATGACATAATGAGTGGCAGACACCCTTCTAAAAATTTGAAATTATCGCCTTTTGATATTATGCGCTTCAAATATCCTTTAATCAGCCGATGTAGGTCGATGTGGAACGATCATTTAGCCATTTTAAAAATATTTTCAGGTCTAATAGGTGATATGTAATATTTGATAATTTAAAAGATATTGTAATAATTCAATGCAACAAATCAATTTTTTAATTACATTTTTTTAGCATACTTTTGTAAATTATACTTACACACACACATGTACATATTTCTGTATTTTTATTACATATAAATCCGTTCCCTACTTATTATATACGATCTTATAAAATGTTTAATGCAAATAGACACGCGTTGGCTTTTGTCGCACAGGGTTTTAGGGGTTATGCATGTGTAAAAAATGTATTCGCGTTAACGTTCATCACTGTTGTTTGAAAACGCAGAATATAAAACCGTACGGTTATAAATTACACTGCATCGTGTCATACCGCGACTGGAAGTATACCTTTAGCACGGACCCGACGATTTTCATGAAAATGTATAGTTCGGTCTTGGTTTCAATTCACCGCCGGCGAAGTGTCGAAAACCGTAAGATTTATCTTAGCTTGCGAGCAGAAATAATTAAAAAAAAAAAAAAAAAAAAACGTATTAAACGAGCGTACATTACATTTAGTCGTTAAATACATTATACTTGTACGTTTGTTTTGTTTTAAATTTATTTAGTGTTCAAGAACAACAATAATAAGACCAACGGAGTGTATAACCATTATTTCGAAATATGTATTGTTACGCATGTATATATTACGTATGTATTTAAATTTAAACCGATTCCAAAAGTTGTTAACGAAGTGCAGTCGTTTAACAAAAGGAAAGTTGTTGACTCGTGAACTGCTTTATGATTTATACACTCGAGGTATTTTTAATTACTTTTACGAATGGTATTGACGAGAATGAAATGTTTTCGCCCCAAACGTACTTGTTATGTACCTGCACATCTATGGCTCGATTGAAGGGCTCTGTGCAATAACCAGACAGCTCTGTTATATCATTTTTTTTCAGGAAGCACATATTTAATATTTAATACACATGTATATACATAAGTGAAGAATAATAAAAAAAAAAAAATTATTTTAAAATAGTGATAAAAACTGTGGTGCCCTTAATGAAGTTGATACATGAATATAATATAATATAATAATAATAATATACATATAATAATATTTTTTACACTTTTAACCACAAATAAGGCATTTTTCCTGGAGTTTTCTTGTTTATTGCTCGGAGTTAGTAAATCCTTCTTTTTTTTTTTTTTTTTTAATAATAACTATTATTATAATAATAGTACATATATGTACTTCTACTATCAAACAGCATACTCGAGTTTTAAGACTTATATAACTAATATAACTAAACCTATGGCGAAACCAAGACAGCTCTGGAGTCGTCTGGTTTTTCGTCGGAAAACAAAAAAACCAGGTAGCTCCAGAACCATTATCATTTCTAAGCGGACAGTCGGACTTATCGAGTTCTCGCACAGATAATCTGATAGTTTTTTTCTATTTTGAAACCATGATAATACGAATTTCGCTAAATACGTAGCCGTCCGGTTATCGCACAGGGCCCTTGAATTGCACTGCGCGAGCGCCACAACCAACCTGGGTCGACGCGATTTAAAACGTTTTTGTCGTGGCCCGTACGAAATTCGGTGTGTCCGTGTAATAATATCGCACCGAACAGAAACGCGCGGCTACAGATAGGAAAATAAGAGAAAACCGTGACCGTCGATGCGACATGGAACGTTAAAAAGGAATTATAATCTGGTCGAGAACGCATTAAAATTAATGCGTCTTGCGTCGTTCCGTACAACGAGTATATTATTTTAAGACTATTCCGAGAAACCACTTATTCCTATCGCGTTGCCGACTGCACTATGTGTTGTGCGTTTACACGTGTGAGCGTCGAATCTCTGATATAAATGCGCTATACCAGTGTTTCCCAACTTGTTTTGCCCGCGGAACCTTTGCAGGAGCTTGAACGTTTTGTGGAACCCCAATATTTTTTCTATAATATCAATGCAGACATATGTTTCGTACACTTGAACGAGTGGGTTATCGGACACTTCCGGCACAAGAGTGCCATTAATATAAAAAAAAAAAAAACAAGACGGCTCTAACATCTTGTTTTGTTTATTACTATTACAATATTATAAATTTACATATCGAAGCTTAAAATTTAATATTTGTCTCTCATCACCTCTAATATAGATTCAACGAGAATATTGGAATCTTTCCGTAGTTCTTTTCACAACTGTTTTTAAATCTGGAGTTATTCCCGAAAATTGGTTTCGTAAGTCCGGAGCCGCGTTCAGTTGATTTCGAAACTTATTCTTTGTATACCCCGAAAAGCTACAGACTACGCATCTCACATCGGGAAATGTGTCAATTCCAGTTCTATGCGAAGTACTACTACGTTCAAATCAAAATATTGCTAATTAATTTATAACTTTCACAGATTTCCCACGGAACCCATGGGCTCAGAGGAACACCAGTTGGGAAACACTGCGCTATACATGTACGTGCTACACTCTACGCAATCGTTGTAACATGTGCTCCGAAACGTATGGATCGCATTATATCCGTGATCGTACGCACAGCGGTTTCCGGAATGATCGATCGGCAGCCGTGTGCGACGAGAACAACAAATCAAATAAACGAAACGCTGATCAACACCGTAGCGGTGGTACACGTTGGCACGAGTGTACGCGCCAAGACCGTGTCTAGAAATTTTTTTCGGGAGGGTTCCAAAACATGTATACGGTAATTTCATTGAATTTAGATTTTAACTTTTGATATTTGGTTAAAAATAAGGCGGAGAAAGATTTAATCTACTTTTATTAAAATTAATATCATGTTTTCATATGATATTAAAACTAAAAGCAGTCAACGATTAGTTGGAGCTTAAGTAATTTTTGACTGAAAACGCTTGTGTTGGTATCAAAAATAAATAATTATCTTAAACATTCGTAAAATATTGAAGACATTTCGGGGGGGGTAGAGTCCATACACCCTGGACCCTCCCTTCAAATACGGCCTTGGTACGCACCGTCACGGAGCCGTACCGAGCCATTTTTTGTCCTGAAGCAGAACCGAAGCGATGCGCTCCCTAGGGTTGTCGCACTCGCAGCTTTTAAATGTGTACAACACGATTCGGAAAAAATCCGAAAATCGTAATCAGTTTTCCGGCAAAACGAGAAATAACGTTTCTCAAAATAAGTTGATCGTTTTATATTTTTGCGCCCTCCCCCCAATTAATTAGTCGAGTGTCTCGCCCGCCTCGCCATGATCACGGCTTTGGACCACCGCACCAGTACGAGTACGTCCGACTTGAAAAATCCATACGTATTCTCCTCCGATTGCTGCGCGTGCACGGTCGTAACGCGTATACGATTGCGTATAGCAATGATTTAGCCTTACGCGTAGGCGCCAACGTTTAGATTTTTAGCGCGGGCCTAAAACGGAACGCTCAGAACCGCGTAGATCGTTTATATTCTGTTTGTTGGCTTTTGTTTACACCGATGGACAAATTATCAACACGAAAACATTTTCACAACTATATCTTTTAATATTCAATACATTTTATTTGATTGTATTCGTTTCAATGCAAAAATATTTTTTCTTGTAGAGCACTTCTTAATAAACGTATTTCCTACTTCGCAGGGGTCCAATTCTACCATTGTTTTGTGACAATTAATGACTGCCAAATCTCTTTTTTTCTTTTTCATATTATTTTCTTTAAAAAAATCAACAATCTTCTATTACATACATTTACAATAATGAAAAAATGGGCGGAGTGTGACCGCCAAATCATTCAACCATTTCCGGGGTAATAGTACTTCTTGTATAATTGTTTTAAACTTTTAAACACGGAAAAGGAACTTTCAATGTTGCATGTAGTGACTGATACTGTCATATCAACTGCATGCATTTGCTTAGCTTTGGTAGACAAATAACCAAGTGTAGTTTTAATTTAGCAACAATTAATATATCCGCTAATGATGAAACAATTAATTAAACCTAAAATATCTCTCTAAAGCTTAAGCTTATCAATACTTGAATCATCTTTTAAGAAAAGATAATTAAAGATAATAGGTTCGGTCGACATTAGGAAACGTATTTTCACGTACGTAATAACTTATAAATCATAGTTCAAATAGTAATTTTGAGTTTTTAGGAAATAATTTTTGTACACGAGAACATAAGTCCGTGTCCCCGTTAAATCCAGGTAGATAATTCCGCGGAGTCGGCACCTAGGAAAAGACAAATTCATGTAATAATCTATCTAGAGTAGCTCATTATAAGGAAATCAAAGATACGTTATACTTTATGTTTAACGTACAGCGAATAAGTATTTTTATAATACACACATCGAATAAATATTTTTCTTTGGAAACAACTGATATATACATTTATATATGTGTACAGTTTTCCCAGCAGCTAACAAGTATCGTACTGTGTGTGTGTGTGTGTGTGTGTGTGTGTGTGTGTGCGCGCGCACTATAAATTCCAACGACACCGCAGGAATCGATTTCGAATTACTTTTGTGCTTCTCACCTAACCGGCTCAAGTAAAAACTCGGGTGTGCGCTACCCATGTTAGGCTATATATTATAATACGTCCGATGAGTGTGCACGAGAAACGGTTATACCGCAAGAACGACAACTGAAACGGACGGGCCTGCGTGTCGCCATGATATCGTGTACAAAATGTATTATTTTCAATCTTTCTCCTTTATTATTATACAGAAAAAATAAAATACAATCAAGGCGGAAATTCGTCTTTCTGGCTTTTACACTAAATTCATCGACAATTTGTTCTGTAGATAATGGAATGTCTCCGTGTACGTTCATTAACGCTTAACCGTGACTGCCCCGTCGTACCATTGCTTAAATACGTTTTTAAACGTTTAAGACTAAAAGAAGAAAAAAAGCCCACAGGAGGGAACACATCTCCGATCATCCCTCCACCGTCACTGCGCACGCCACACGACGGGCGAACGCGTTGCCTCCGAAACGATTTCGTCCGCGGAATCACGATGAAACGGTCCCGTTGCATCGGATGTGTAAAGTAAGCGCGGCAATCTGTCCGCGGGGAAGCGCGGAGAAAACCAAAAAAAAAAATTAACCTTCGGAACATTGTCCGCCGTGTTGTAATGAACGCATATAGTTTTTAGACCGGTGCTCGTGTATGTAATTATTTTAATAGACGTATGCGGGGCTGCTGCGTCGCTGAAGCTGCGCAGAGACGCGATCGTCGGACGGATTTGCATTTTAATTCCATTGCCGCCGCCGGCCATCGCGCGCAGTTGTCTTGTACGCGTTTCAATGGGGTCTTGAAACATCCGTTTTATACGTTTCCCATGCGCGTTTCGGACACACGGACGGAAGCCGTACGACGTCCGATAATTCGTCCGTGCGCCTACGTCACCATCGGACCACCGCCGGTGCGTCGGATGATACCGAAATCACGCGTCAACTGTTCAAACGTACAACGCGCGTATTGCGCTCCGCACGTACACGATTGTCGTCTGAAAACCCGGCGCGGACCGGGTGATAAAATGATCAATGGGGTCATCCGCACGGTCAGCACATAAAAACGGTATCGGAGCGACGTGAACAACCGGTGCAACAATGCGATCGCCGTAGAAGTTCACCAAAAGCTCTCGGTGTACTCGACTGCACGACGGTCAATACATCTCCTCCATAACAACGTACTCGGACGCGACCGTTGTTTTATATATTTCAATCCGATCGCTGTTCGTTCGTCGGCGCGTAATGTTACGCGTTTTGATTTGTTTCCCGGACGGCGGTCGGGGAAATGGTTCTCGCGTCCCGTACCGTTCAAACGTTAGCTCCGTCTTTCGAAAGTCCTAACGGAAAGCACGATTATTTTTGCCGCGGAGGGATTCGGGCGCGTCTTAGATCCTTCGTGAGCGGCGCACAGTAATAAAACGAAATCCGTCCGTTTGAAATGCTAGAGGCCAAGAAGAAAGAGCAGTGCGGTTCTTCGAGATTCTGTACAGGAACGAATGTATAAGCTTTCGGCTACGCAGCTCGACAGCACTGGTTCGGCGTTCAACACGCATATGTATAATCGCTGACCGTACTTGTTTTATGTACGATTAATCGGTACACCCGAATCGGAAACTATTCATTCGTTTGACCGCATAAAGTGCACCACAATGGATTGCGTAACAATAAACGCGTTATCGATTGAGACCAATCATTTGTCCACTACCAGTATAATGTGCGCCACGTGCACAACTATTTACATATAATTCACATTTTGTAATTTTGTCGCGGAATTCGATATTATTATATCGTATATAAGATGTGAAATGCAATTTATGTTGAACTCCTTGACGTTCGTTGATTGCTATATGCTATATTTACTATATGCATATAGTAAGCTTTCGTAATATTATTATGAACGTCCAACATATTATAAATGTTAAACCGCTCTAAGTTATTCGTACTGTATACTTGATGCGTGTATTGTTTGTTTTCTGAACCCGAAAGTCGGTTCACAACATCAATTCTCCACTCTGACCGATTGATCGCATTTCTTTTAAGTATAGATACTGGATCTCGCGTCACATTTCAATGTCGAAAAGAAAACGAAAATGTATAAGGGGTTAAAAAACGCCGTACACATCAACTGTAAATGCGACGTTTCGATATTATAAGATGAAAATTCCGTGTTCCGATTAGCGCGAAAGCCGTGCTTTCTCTTGGTTATTTTTTTATTTCGAACAGCAATACATATTATTTACCTAACGAATTATGTTTTCCGCGTGCACGTTTTGAATACGATCCGAGGTCATATGGTTTTAATTGTATGGCTTTACGTATGAAATTAGCTTACACGCATATCGTATAAATCTAAGACAAATACTGTTAAAAAAATAGGAATTATTACGAGACGCGTGTATGTTTTCGGTACATATTTTCGTATATGTTTATGTTACATTAACTGGGCTTATTATTTATAATTGACGATCGCTAATAATAAGCACTTCCGGCTTATAACGATATCAAATTACCAAAAAAAAAAAAAAAAAATTATAATAATAGTTCGTGAAATCCTCGTAGGATTTCGTAAACAACAAGTACGTGAGTGGAACATATGAAATAAAAAAAAAAAAAAAAACAACCGTACGCGGGTTACCCCGGTATCGGAAATATGAATACATTTTTGGTCACGGAGCGCGTATACACTTGCGCACCTCTTGGGCACATTTGTATAATTAACAAGGTACACAGTTAATTTGTTCTGGTACATAATTTTCGGTAAAACAAGACATCGCGGACGGGTCTTGATTATTTATTCAGCGGCGTATGAGTTACCGTAGAAAATAATTTACATCCCCGAAATGTAATTGTTCTATCGTTAGTGCACGGCTGTATTGCGTTCCGATGCCATCCTGTTGTTGCGGCGCGGGTACGTATATCGTATAGCATTTAATGTTCTAAACGAAATTGTCCTGTTAAACTCGCGGCGAAACCATAATTTGTATACGCACGGTGCACTTGTTACACACGCGATACGTATATTTATTATATATTTATGCACGGCTGTTGTTCCTTACAAAACGTTGATTCACATACGCCGCGTATAAATATATTACACACGCGTAGGCATGGTAATATAATGTTGAAATAAATTACAACGGTCGAATAAATTATGCTATCGCTGTTTCGAACGTTTATCTCTTCGGAAAAAAAAGAAGCTATTAAAACAATCTGTAGAAAAAAATAGCT